GATCAAGATGAACTGGCTGCTGCAGAGTCAGGGGTATAACTACAAATCGAGATCTCCAAGCCAGTCTCCCAGAGACTCTGGTTAAGAAGATCCAGGAGGCTGCTTGTTTAAGGAACTCTGCAGGTGTTTTCCCAGCCCCACAGCAAGCATCCTCCCAGAGAGGTGACCTCGAGGTTCAGAGGCCCAGGCCTCTTAGTTGTGAAGAGGTCATGGACTTAGTTCTTTAATAGGATCATTTATCAGCTTCGCTGCTCACTGCCTGGGAGACTGTGGCCAGCATCTCACTATTAGAGAGTCTTAGGAGGCACAGACCCATGGCTCATAATAGTGCCAGTCTGGAACCAGCCTGATACTCATCAAGGAAACACTAGTCGTATGAACTTCGGCACATCAGTGCTATGGGACACCATGAAGATTCTGAAAGGAAAGCAGCCACACTGCAGCTCTGTAGGTGCTGCCACAGGAAGTGAACACAGCAAAGCAAGGGCCACAGCTCACACTCTTACCTCTAGGAAGGGCTCTTCCTACCCCCTCAACCCTCACACCCAAGAGAAGGCCCTAAGCCTGGTAGACTCCTCCTCTCCTACATCTAAGCCTTTCCATGCCCACTGGACCATCCTGTGTGGATCTCTGCCTCTAGACACACCCTAGAGACAGGCCTTATTTGCAGATCAAGTGCTCCCCTCCCTTCCACCATTAAACCCCTCCAGGGCTCTTGGTTACCTTGCTCAGCAGGGCCTGTACAGCCAGCCACTCCCAGCCCTGCTTACTTCTTCAGTCTCATCTGGGGCAGCATCCCATTGTCTCACCCCAGAACTTTCCATTGTTTGATGCACCACCTCTGCTCCACCACCTCCAGATCTGCAGCTCCCTCTTCCTTTCAGTACAGTGCCTCACCACAACAACGCACTCTTCATTTGCCTAAGGGCCCACTCCCTTCCTTACTCTCCCTGGGCCCATGCAGTGCTCCAGTCCTGTCCCTTGCTCCCCCTCACAGCAAGGTCCTTCCACACTGTAACTGTGCCATATGGACTTCCAACCCCAATGTGCATCCTAAACTTTGGGACAGAAGGGCCTTGACTTACTTGACCCTTGTATCTCTAGGGCTCAGCACTACTAGGAAGTAGATCCTGAATCAATATTTGCCTGGTGAATAAATAATAGTGCTCACTACAATGTATGGAAAATTCTCTGTCATAGTTTGGATCTTGAACTTCCCTGAAGGCCCATGTGTTAAACTTGGTTCCACCTCCTGTGGGAGGTGATGGAGTTTTTAGGAGGTGGGGCCTTGTGGAAGGAAGTTAGGTCCTTGGACACATACCCTTGAAGATGGTGTTGGGACCCAGCCCTCTTCCTGTCTCTCTTTGCCTCCCAGCCACCACCAGGTAAACAACTTCTGCCAAATGTTCCTGCCATGATATGCTGTCAAAACCACAGGCCAAAAGTAATCATCCAACTGATGATGGACTGAAATTGTGAGCTAAAAGAAACTTTTCTGCTTTTTCTCTGGTATTTGTATTGTCTCTGGTATTTTGCAATAGTTGTCTATTGTCTCTGGTATTTTGTAATAGTGATGGAAAACTGACTGTCACATTCTCTGAGCTCATCAATGGTAAATTGTGTGGCAGGTGCTGAGGATAGAAAGATGACTAGAACTAGATCACAGGGAAAACTAAAATTGCCACATAAGTTCAAGAAGGCTTGAAAAATTCTCCTCTTGTCTTACATTCAACCATACTAAATTCCACCACAGACTATCACTCAATGGTAACTCAGAGCTTATGAAATGGGGAAGATAAGGCAGAGAAGGTTATCGTGCTGGCCAACAAAACTTCATTAATAACTGAATTCTTCAGAAAATCAGGCCACTTAGCCAGGTGTGGTGGCACATGCCTGTAATCCCAGTTACTCAGGAGGCTGAGACAGGATTGACAACTGTATCTCAAAATAAAATATAAAAAGGGCTGGGGATGTAGCCCAGTAGTAAAGCACCCCTGGCTTCAATCCCCAGTACTGAGAAAAAATGAGACACTTTAAAAATTGATTTTCTTTTTTTAGGCAATGAAGAGACTCCACTAAGAAATATGTCTCTTGGAGGAGACTACAAGGTAACTTGTGTGTCATTTCTCAGTGTTGAGTATTGATGTTCCTCTGAACATACTAAGATGCCATGCAAGGAGATGAGCTTCCTCTTCTCTTTTTAAAATGAATTTACCACAGTCTACAAAAGCATAGTTAGTTGAGTGTTTATTAGATATCTAACTCTTTCATTAACCTTTACTGCTACAGTGGGGACAAAGATGATGCCTGTTTTATATCCCTAGCATCAGCATAATGTTCTGGCACTCAGAAGGTGTTTAGTAAATATTTGTTGAATGAATGGATAAATTAATAACATCAAATTCGGTATGAGAGTTCATCCATCACTAGGAAAATACTGACCATTAAATAAGAAAATACCATCCTGATCCACTCTGAGAGACAAGGAAAACAAGGAACAGGAATAAGCCAAGATCATCAATGTATCTATCTGATTTAAAGAGGACAGAGATGCTATAGTATTCTATAACATACGACTGACTGATAAATTCTGAGCACTGTTACACCACTGAGCTATGAATAAAATTCTGCTTACCTAGGCTGTGTTAGGAAGTTTATGCATTGTTTGTGTTTTGCTTAGATGAGAACACCACGGCTGGGCTGCCCCGTCAGCCTCCATGTTCAACCGTCCACATCAACTGCCGGCTATAATTAGGGAGTGCTGAGAGCAGGACGTTGGAGAGAAATCAGCTTGCATATTTTTCTTCCCTTGTGGCTGGCTCATTTGAATGATAATGGATTGCGGTGTATGGTGTAATATGGGCTGCTTTGAATAATGAGGCAGTCCTGGACCTGGACTCCCAGTACCTGTGTGGCCAGTTAGTGGCCAGTGACAAAACAGGAGAAACATCTTTGGGGCAATAAAGGCTGATTTGAGTGTGGCAGAAGACAGATGCTGGGAAACACCCCACTGTAGGCACCATCAGGAGCTTCCATCATTGAAAGCTTCATTTGTTTTATTCATAGTCATTTTTCCAGCTGAGAGACTTAAAGACGCCTGGCCAGCAGCATCTTGAGGTGATAAAACACTGGGGTAGGCATCCAAGAGATGAAGAATCCCTATCCCCAGGGAGAGGAATGCCACATGCCCACAGAGCCTACTTTCTGTTTTCAAGGCTAAGAGGTAAACTTGGCTCAACTCAGGGGGCAGAAGCAGATGACAGCTGGACAGCCCTGCCAGCTTGATGTTTTCAAATACCACTTTAATTTGAACATGGATAGCCTTGGGCAACAGCCACATGTGTAGACACTTGGCTCTGGACACCTGAAGCCAGGTATGGGAAGTGGCATGGTCAATGATGAGGAGGGCTGACTCTGAATTCAGACTCCCTGGGTTTGAAGTCTGGTCTACCACTTAGCAGCTGCAGAAAACTTGTGTCCCTCAATTTCTCCATCTGTCAAATGGAAGATGATTACTAGCCTGCTGTGGTGCTATACACCTGTAATCCCAGCAATCTAGGAGGCTGAAACAGGAGGATCAGAAGTTTGAGCCCAACCTGGGCAATTTAGCAACTTTGAGAGACTGTCTCAAAATAAAAAGGGCTGAGGATGTGACATAGCTCAGTGTGAAGCCCCTGGGTCCAATCCCTAGTACCAGAAGGGCAGTGAGAAGAAAGATAAATAACAGCATTTACTTCATACAGAAGGTTGCTGTAAGGTTTGATTGCGTAAACAGCACAAAGCACTCAAAACAGTGCCTCGTACATACTTAAAACCCAATAAATATCTGCTCTCATCCATATTGCTCTGTGCTCCTGCCAGGAGGTCCCTAACTTCAGGTGGCAAAGCCTTGCTTAGTGAGATGAGTGTAGGCTCTGGAATTGGACTACTCAGGGAATTACTCAGGGGAAACTAGCTGGGTAACATGGGGCAAGTCACTTAACCTCCTGAGACTCAGTTTCCTCACATGTTAAATGGGAATTCCTAATAGTAACTACTTTGTAGGATTGTGTGAGGGATTAATTAAATAATATATTCAGTTAAAACAGTATTTGGCACATAGTACGTACTCAATACATGTTGGATAATAATGCTTAAATTATGATGCTGCTAGCATTACACCATAAGGAGTCTGGGCTTCAGACAGTGGGCAGTGTGCATTTGAGGCATTATCTGTCCATGACTGTGGGCTTGGAATCTCACTCTTTCAGATAGTTAGAAAGGGCACTGGAAAGGAAACTGAACTGGAAACTAACCAGAAGTTTCTGAGTGATCAGAATGATCAAGACAGAGAATGGCAGTTGCAAAGTCACCTGTAAGCCTTCCTTAAATAATCAGGACCTAATCACTTGCAATTAACTTATTTTATTTCTGTTTGTTTCCCTGCTATGCCATCCTTTCCCTGGGGGCACTGGTAGGGAAGCAGGGCTTCTGGCCACCAGGCTTCCAGGCTTCCCTCTCTCTCTCTCTCTCTCTCTCTCTCTCTCTCTCTCTCTCTCTCTCTCTCTCTGTCACACACACCCTGCCAACACTGTAGTTGCATATTTAATTTGCTTCGATTTAAATATGCAGCTCGATTCTACTAATAATACATCACAGCAAGACTTCTCAAAACCTTTCTGGAGCTAGACATGATATTTACACACAGATAAATCATGTCAGTGATGTGGGGTTTGGGAGTGCAGGGGAGGTAGTTCGGTGAAGATGTTTTGAGTCTGTACCTAGATACCTACCCTGATAGAAAGCATCTTGGATAACAATCCATTGTCTTTGGACTCAAGTCTTAGAAACCTCACAGGAACTAGGCTATAGCTGCTTCCCTGTCCCTCCCAACATGAATGTCCCCCCTCCGCACTTCACACCCTCAAACACCATTTCTAAGTGCTCTTTCAGGAGGTTTGGGCCCAGCTCTGTCCATCCCCACTGCTTTCTGAACCCTGCACCCCAGAGATAGGACACACCTTTCTCCTTGGATCTTCGGGCTGTCGGTGGAGTCAGGATGCGCGAATGGCAAAGCGTGCAGAACTGGAGCCCAGACAGTGCTCATCATCCTGTCACCAGGACAAAGGGAAGAAATCCCATTATGTCACCTTCGGCAAGCAAGAGACAGAGACAATTTCCCCCATAAACACTGCACTGACACTGTTATGATGTATCTCAAGCACTTCTAATCAGTATGGAAGTGGAGAGACTGCGGAAGCTCTCCAGCCTGAAAGCTGCCATTCAGCTGGAACTGTGGGCTCCTGTTGTTATTGAAATGACCTGGCTGGGAGCAGCCACTACTCAGAACACTGAGTAGAAGCGCGAGCGCGCACACACACAAACACACACACACACACACACACACACACACACACACAAGGCCAGCAGCATTTCAAGTCAGTTTCCACCTTTTCATCTGCACTTATTAATCACCCCTCCGCATTTTCTTTCCTCCACATTAAAAAAAAGGAGAAAAGGTCTTATTTCTTCAGAAGGTACTTTTTGTAGTTTTGAAGAGAGAGAAGACTTTTGTTCTCAAACTCTTTCTTGCCAAAAGCAGCCATGGGCTTGAGTTTTTAATGAGTGGTCAACATTATCCAACTATAAATGTGTTTTAGTTTCAGATTTATTTGCTCTCTCTCTAATTTAGTGATTACAAAAGGACACCAAAGAAATCTGGTAGAATGCCACCTAGGCCATGGACCAGATTTCCTGTTAGCAGTAGGGGACAAACAGATATCACATGCTTCCTTCCATGAGGTGCTGAGGACAGAGGTCTTCTAAACCCCATTCGGGGGCGGGGTGGAAAGTGACACAGGCACATCAGCAGCAGCCCGGCAGCCCCACCACAGCACTGAGGCAGGATGTGCACTCTGCCTGTGGAAGGGACCTCTGGGCTGAGCCAGGGAGCGGCCATTGGGGGTGGCTAGTCAGGTGATGCAGTCACTTTCAGACCTAGTTCCTGTTGCTTTCTTTTGTTTCTTTGTGGAAAGGGTTCTCAGCATTGGAGATACCAGAAACAGTAAGAAGCTTTCAAACCAGGTGCTTGACAGGCCTGTGCCTGGGGTTACAGAGTTTTTCCCACTTTTCCAACATCATGAAGGCATGCCAGTCCTGGGGACCCTCCCCTCTGGTGACTTGATCCGAGTTCCTCATCTATTCCAGTGTGCTCAGTGGAGGCCACAAGGATGATGCCTGTTCCTCTCAGGAAGTATTCTGACTGAGGCTTCTGAAGACCAGCCCATCACTGGGGGGAAATGGGGTGCTCGCCCTCAGGAGCTGTTCCTGATCTGTTCTTCTTCAAGTTCCTGGTTAGCTCCAGAGGCAGTACCAGCTCTACCCCTTCTAAACAGGCGTAGGGTTAGAAAAATGGACAAAGTTGGCCAGGCTTTACGAATACAGTGTTAAGTGAAGCCTCTCACCTCTTAGTCTTCTCTGAGGTAGAGTCAGAAGCTTGAGTTCCCTGTGGAGCAGCTTCCCCTCTCTGCCTGTGACCTTAGAGGATCTACTTGGCCTCTCTGTGACTCACTTTCCTCCTCCCTCAACAGGGGAACATAATAGTACCCATCTCACAAGATTCTCTTGAGAATTAGATAAACATGATACAATGGAACCTCAAATTACAACCAGCTTGACATACAAACAACTTGGCTTATGACTAGAATTTTAGTTTTAACTTAGAAACAAAGTCTTGAGTTATGACTTAAATGCCTGCCACTTATGATTCCAGATGGTCTCGGATATAGATTTAACCCTCAAAGAGTTCTGGAAGGAACATTACAACATCCTTTCTTGAGTGGGGTTGAGAAATCCTGGGCCATTGTCTCTCTAAGGACACTGAGATCTGCCTACATATAGGAGAGAGGCTTTGAAGGCTGTATAGTAAAGGCTGACCCTTCAATTTACCAGCTTGAGTTACAACCAGCCCTGGAGAACGAATTGAGTTCTTAAGTCAAGGGTCCACTGTTTGTGTAAGGTCCTTTTCATACTGTTGAACACTGAAGAATTATTAGATAGTTTAGTATCACTATTCTTAAACATAAAGTTCTCTATTTTTGTGTATATTGGTAAGAAGCTATATTTAAATTTTTTTGTCACTTCCTCATCTTGTGTCCCCTCTTCCCGCTCCTCCCTCCAAACCACAGTCTTCTTATCTAATATAATAGCCCTCGAGCATCAAGGCAAGTTTGGACTCTGGGCTGAGAGGGCCAGCTGGGCCACTTTGGAAACATACTTAACCTGTTGCTTGTTTTGTTTCCCCCTCTGTTTTACCCTCTTTTTAAGAGGGTAACAATAATCCACACCCCCTAAGGATGAGGTGAGGATTGAGAGAATATATGGAAAGTACGTAGGATAGTCCCTGACACATGGTAACTGCTTAGTTAATTATGTGTTTTGTGATATCTTGGGGATTGAGGAGTTACTTAGAATACAAATTGAAAGGAATTATTTTTAATTTTGTTTCATTTGGATTGAAAGACATTAATGATAAGATTCCTTACAGAGATATCTTACTCTTGGTTTGGGAAGCTTCTCATCTCTCTTAAAGTAAGGTATTTTTTGTCCTCAGTTAATCTAGGAACGACTTATTAGGCTCCTTATAAAATAAATGTAATAAAATATGGTTCATAAAAATAAGGATATGCCATAATACCTGTTTTAGTCAGCCTTCTCCAAGAAACAGAACCAACTGAGTTTCTACCTATCTAGAGAGATTAATTTTAAGGAATTAGCACATGAGGTTGTAGAGGCAGACAAATTCAAAATCTTCAGGGAAGACCATGAGGCTAAAGACCGGAAAGAAGTGATGTTGCAGTTTAAGTCTGAAGGCCACCTGCAGGCAGAATTTCCTCTTTTCCAGGGAGGTCAGTCTTTTTCTGAACGCCTTCAACTGATTCTGTGAGGCCCACAATATCATGGAAGGTAATCCGTTCTACTCAAAGTCTACCAATTTAAATGTTAATCCTATCCCCCAAAAAATACCTTCACAAAATCATCTGGAATGAAATTTGATCAAATATCTGGGTCCTATGACCTATCCAAGTTGACACATAAACATATCACAATATCTAACACTAAACCACTATTTATACTATCTATTCCAGGTACCCTTGTTTCTACACACTCCGTTTTGGAGGTTAGGTTGCAAGCTTCTCTCACATTAATTCACAGATGTTCTTTTAGTAGCTCCCATACTTATTTTTTGGTACCAGGGATCGAACTCTGGACCTTGTGCTTGCGAGACAGGCAGCAGAATCACTGAGCTAAATCTCTGGCCCAGTTCCCATACTTCTTATTAGCTGGATCATCAATTAAATGAAAGAATCACACATATTCAAATCATTCCTCAGGCAATGGCTCTGAGAACCCTCATTCCCACTTGCCTAGTGGATCATCAAATGCTTATGTTTCCTCTTGGGATTCTAGTGAAAGACAGCAAGAGAAGAGATTGGTCAAATCTTTTAACAGAACAGGCTCTGGCAAGATCAAGTAAACATCCCTGAGATGGGGAAGGTTACACTAAGGGTACAAGGTGAACAGGAATTGTGGTGGTGAAAAAGAGGAATTGAGAGAAGGCAAGAGAGAACGGCAGGTGTGAACACCTTGTGACAGAGGGGAGAATGGCCCAGCCCACTCTACGGGGCACCTGCGGACCAGTCTGGGGCACTTAATGGGTCCTGGATCTTTTTGCTTGAAAGGCTCACTAACAGGTGAGGGAATGCAGCCAGGTCAAAGCAGTGGAAAATAATGGAGAGATTCAGAGCTGGGAGTGTAGCTCAGTGGTAGAGCAGTTGCCAAGCACGCATGCGGCCCTAGGTTCCATCCCAGCACTACAAAAAAAAATGTAGATATCCATAGAGGAAAAATGGACAGAACCTTTTGGAAGGCCAAAAGATAGAGGCATCAGGGACACAATGATTATTCAGAACAGGTGTTCACAGGCTCTCAAGCAATCAAGTCCAGGAGTCTCTGGCTTTCTCTGCCCCCAACCCCTGACATTGCAAGTGCTACCTGGACAGCAAACTTCGTCTCCATGACAGAGTGACAGGTAAAGCCAGGAGGGCAGGGCCTCCATCACACAGTCACCACTGGGACCCTACATACAGAGCCAACCAAACACCAAAGGCCGGGGCACTTCTGTGAGCTTTGGGCAGTATGCAGAGCCAGTCCTAAGAAGGACAGTGTCCACAAGTCTGGGCTCTTGGCCAACAGGGCTTCTCTCAGAATTTTCTTTTTCTTTTATTACCTTCCCACAGAGGATTATAGATAGCTGGAGTTTGAGTTAGATTACTTCCAACCATAAAATAAAGACTATAAAATCTTTTCACCCTAATCAGAAAAAAGCATTCTTTTGTCCCACTATATCCATCAATATGTCATATTTAACAGTTACAATTATTGACAGGTGTATAAAACACTTGGTGGCAGAGAAAATGGCCTCCTATAAAGTGTTCGTTCTTTTTTATTGATAATAAGTTGGCTTCTCTAGTCCTACTGAGAGAATATGGACCACTAACAAGAGATCAAATCCATTTATATGGCTTCCTGCAATCACCACTGTTACTCTGGGGCCCTGGTGTAGGCCTTGCCTTTTAAATTTCAGCATCAGTGGGAGCTCAGAGGCCCAAAGCAGGGTCATATTACTTCTGTAATGAGGAAAGTACAATTCTAATAGCATCATTTGCTACACCCTTTCATTTTTCTTCTTCAAGACAGACTGTGCTACTGTTTTCCTATGACCGAATTTTTAACATACAAAGATTTCAACTACAGGGGAATATTAATCAAAGGATCTGTCTATATGCGGTGCCAGGTGGGTATCATACATAACAATAATAACAGTAATAATAATAATGTATTGATAACACCGCAAGTATAGTTGCTACATTTCTTTAATGCCTATGTGTCAGGGATTCGACCAAGGTCACAATTTACAGATGTTCCCTGCACAAAGGTGTCTGGCTAGGAGTCTGCTGGGGACTGATATCCTCTTGCCAAATTCTTTGTCTTGGGGCAGGCGGTGCAGTCCTAAAGCAAGGGGCACCATTTTGTAATGGTTACAATATGCACTAGCAGATGCTTTGCTTATTTACATATTATTTCTGATCCCTAGGACATCAGTGCTGTTTACCAGTAAGGAA